GCCAAGAGTCATTGTCAGCACTGCGGGCTAAGCACCCCTAAAGGTCAGATCCTAGAATCACCCCTGCTGAGAGGAATGTGCAGATGATAGTATCTGTCTTTAAAAGAAAAAAAAAATAAACAATTGAGTGCTCAAAGGTTATAATTCAGTTCTGCAGGAAAATCCTTGTTTTTTTTTGTTGTTGTTGTTCACTAAAGTCCCGTTCGACAAAAATAAACCCGTTAACTTGATTAAAAACACGAAATCTAATCTCGTATCATCACTGCAGCTTCTATAGTCTGCCACTAGATGGCGGTGTTTCACATTGAGAAATTTGTGCGTCATTGAATTTAAAAGGAATCCTTACAACATTTCAAACCTGACCTCAAATACACAGCTATCTAAAATCATTACTATTGTTGACCTAATGTATTGGAAAACAACAACAGCAATGTTATTCAATAATTTGAAACCAGGACTGCACTGTTTCCTCACAGCACGAAGGGCCTGCGTTTGACTCCGAGCTGGGGCCTTTTTGCATAGAGCTTGCACAGTTTCACCATGTATGCATGACTTTTTTGTAATTTTTGCAAGGAGGCTGGTATCTTCCCACAGCCTAAAAGCATGTTTTATGAATTGGAGATTCTAAATGGGCTATAATGTAAAAATGATAAAGTCTTGACAAGACGCACAGTCAGAAACTGCATAGTTTCGTTTAGAAAGACGTTTGGTTAGTTTTCTCCTGCAGAGCATCACAATGGTGAAATTACCTACTTCACTTGGTCAGACAGTCCACATTCTAATATTCATTAAAATTCAGTGTGAAAAAACTTAATTATCAAGTCAAGTTGTTTCTCATTCTATGGTTTTATTTTAATATGTCACTTGTTTTGATTTGTATTCTGTATTGAATTTGTGTTGTTTGATCTTTTTGTTGCGTTACATTTAACTTCTGAATGTCTCCTCCCTATGAAAATGAACTTTTTTGATAACTCAGATGCATTGGCCTTTAACTTGTTTAAATGTTAGAGAAAGTCACTAGCTTCCAGCCAAAGGAGAAGCAGGTAAAGAATATGGATGGATGGATAAATGTTCAATAATGTACACTGTCCCCCTTTTTAAATAAATAAATGAGAAATTTAAGTGGAGTTACAATATATGCTGTCTGTGTTATTGAGTTTTGCATAATTTGTGTGATTTCTGAATTTGAAATGGCATGGGCATAAATAACTGGAAAATGGTGCACACTTTTTAACTTCTCCAGGTTCTGCACAGCGTTTTACAGAGTGTCTCATTCATCCACACCCCCTCCCCCCCCACACACACACATATAGATTGAACCACCTATCCTTTGATTGGAAGACCACCCTCCTTCTGTACGAAGAGGCTTTGGCTTCAGCTTGTTTTTTTTGTTTGTTTGTTTGCTGTTTTAAATTATATTGTTAACTCCAAGAAAGTTCATTTGGGTCATCTGGACCTTTTCTTTTCTGCTGAGAAGTTTCGTCCTTCATCCAAAAGACTTCTTCAACCTGAGGAGCCACCAACAAACTTGAGTCCCACAAGCAGCACACTCCTGGATTTCTACCTGGATTATTGAGGATGAACTTGGGTGTTTTGAACCACTGCCTCAGAGGAGTTGATGGTGGAGAGGGCGGGACCCGGAGACCATCTTTTCACCAATAAACTGTTTTTTTTCCTCCACTATGGGAGTGTGCTGCTTGTGGGACTCAGTTTGTTGGTGGCTCCTCTGATTGAAGAAGTCCTTTGGATGAAGGATGAAATTTCTCAGCAAAAAAAGAAACCATCCAGATGACCTGACTGAACATTGTTGGATTTCTACCTGGATTATTGAGCTTGAGCTTTAATGTTTACTGTTATTTTTAACTGTATATGTAATTTAAATAAACTAATTCATTTATTCATACATTGTCCCTATAGGTGTGAAAGTGTGAATAATTATTTATCTTTATGTGGCCCTGTGATAGACCGGTCTTGGGTGTCCCTCACATCCTGCCTCCCATGAAAGCTGGCACCAGCTCCCCACAGGATCAATGAATATAGCTTCTTTTTTTTTACTTAATCAGTGCTATTTCCTTTAAATATTGGTATGATGATGTTTCGTGTTTGAAAAACTGTACTACAAAATGTTGTATTTTACAGCAAAATATATACAATAAGATCCTAAAGGTGAGGTCATGTGTGTTGAAAATAAGTTTTATTCTAAGATCCACCAAAGTAGTTACTTTAATTTAAAGGAGACATCTTGGATATTTCCTGGAACAAAGTGTTGAAGTTTTCCTTTACCTAAGACATTTTAACTATATTTCTGTTATTTCACCTGCAGTGCTAAACGATATCAATGCCATTTCCTTTCCTGTTTCCTTTTTCCTTTACACTTTCCTGCTTATCTTACGCCTCCTTTCTGACTGAGCTGAAAACAAGAAAGAGCATGTGTAAACTGAGCTATCGCAACTCGAGATTCAGTCTCAGACGCTCGTTAAATGTTTGAACAGTGCCTTCCTTTTAATGAAGATCGTGCAACTTCATTTCCAAAAGCCTTCCATGAAATCAGTAAATAGTAATCGAAAAGTTACATAAGCTCTGATTTGATAGAAAAACAGGCAGTTTGTTTAAAAAAGTTGACTTGTGTCAGCATCACCTTTTCTTTTTTAAAGTTTGACAAGACAGAAAGTAAACACTCACCTGGTCGGGCTTCACCAGTTAACCTGACATGCATGTTTTTGGGGCTGTTGGAGGGAACCACCTGAGAAAACCCACTTTAAGGAAAAAACAAGGAGACTCCACAAAGAAAAGTGTGCAGGACCAGATTTGAACAAGAGATCTTCTTGCTGTGAGGTGCTCTAAAGGTTACAGCTGTTCACTTTAATTAACTTCTTGCTGAAAAGCCAACAGAAAACATTGTGGTTTGTTTTAATATGATAAATTATATCATAAATATGTATTTCCTGCACAAACTGTGACCCCCACTCACCTGTTTCATCAACTTCATGGCCTTTAAGTGAGCATCAATCATTCTGGGTCAGTCATGACAAAATATAAAACGTAAAATAAATTATCCAAACTTAAAATTGCCTTAAGTGCAGGTTATTAAAAGTTTTACACATGTTTTTTCGATATTGTTGATTTTTCTGTATTTTCTTGCATGTTACTTGCATCAAATTGAAAATGATTATATATTTGTAAACAAAAACAAAATAAAGATAACTTGTTTTGAAGAAATGTAGAATTTAAATTAAAACTGTTTAATGTTTTGAAATTGTTTTTTTGTTGTTGTTGTTTACTGTATATCCATATTTTACATGATTTGAACAAATGGGGAATAAGTAGATAAATACTTAAAAAAAAACAAAGACAAAAAATGTACTAAGATAACTACCGTACTTTCTGCCGTACATGTCGCATCAGTCCAAATATGTCTAATAAAGTGGAAAAATATATAAATAAGTCGCTTCGCCGCATAAGTTGCATCTATTATGTATCGCCTCTGATGCATCGTGTTTTTGTTACGTGTCACCACTGACCACCCAGAAATGTGGGCTGACGTTGATCCAAAAATCGATTGGCTGCCAAATGGCGGCCGTAGGAGCGTGCACGGAAGGACTTTAACAAGAATTTAACAAGATTAACACTTAAAAACAATTATTTGTTTGCTCGAAATTATAGCAAAGGTGTGTCTCAGTTGAACTTTCCCTGAATAAAAGCACTTTGACGGTCAACTCAGCTGCATTTTAAAAGCTGATTCACGGCTGCGGGAGTGCGCCGAGGGAAGATTCGCTGTGCATTTTTCAAAATTTACCAAGATAACCACCTAAAAACAATTATTTGTTTGCTCGACATTATAGTAAAGGTGTGTCTCAGTTGAACTTTTCCTTAATAAATGGCCTTTAATGGTCAAATCAGCTGCATTTCACCTGGGCGGCATGAGGAAATGCAGCTGATTTGACCTTTGCTCCAGGAGTTCTGGAGCGAGACGAAGGTGGCTGGTATGGCAAGCCAAGTGTCTCAATAATAGCCACTTTACCTATTAATGAGGCACTTGGCTTGCCACACGGGTCAAGGGCCCTCTAGTGGATGAAAATGGTAGTGTTCAATATTTTCCTTGTCAGAATTAATGAAATCATCAGATCTCAGTTATAAATTGGTTATACATATGGGGGGAAATGTATATTAATCGCTTCGAGGTATAAGTCGCAGGACCTGCAAATTTATGCAAAAAGGTGCGACTTATACAGCAAAAATATGATAAATGTCTTAAAACTGACATTGTTTAAGTGAAAATTAGATATCCACCTTTCATTTAGCTGCATATGAAAATTAAATTATTTCCTGCTGTATTTAATCTGAAGTTCTATTTGTTTTAATGATAATAATTTTTTTAAACCTGCACATTATGAATTGTTAAATAACCCAGTGTTTTCAAAATGAACACTTTTTATAAACTAAACAATTAGTTTTAACTTGTGTCCTCGATGAAACTAAATATTCTCCCCCACACACTTATATTTTACGTCTCAATGACTAAACTAATTTTTTAGTGCATACGTTGCTATTTTCAAAGTGTAAGCAAACATTTCTATTTAAAATTAAAAAAATGTATTACTGATTAAAGAAAGGAATGAAAGAAATGTACTACAAGGGATTACGTCCCCACAGATTTTGAAATTTTAACACAAGGTGAGTACTATGAAACTACAAAATAAATAAATACATAAATAAAGAAAGAATGGAAAAGTAGAAGCAGTAGATGAATAGAGATAAACAAAATGGAGTGGTATTAGTTTCTTCTTCTGTGATTCTACTCCATTAGTTTGGCTTTAGACATTACAGGGTTAATTTCCTCAGACCTGCCACCCGGATGCAGTCATTCACATGAGTCTGACAGCATCTGGTGTGCAGAGCCAGCCATTAAATCCCATTCTCATCCCTGCAAAGCCAAACGGGCAGCGAAGGCAGCCAACCACATTTATCAGCTTGAAGCTATTAGACCAATTGCAGCGTGAGGAGGAGGGAGCTTGCAGCACTGATCTCTGCTTGCAGCATCCCAAGAGCAGCCTCTGCTTGTGTCAAATACAAGAAAGGCCAAAACAGCAGGACTGGATCCAAGCAGGCAATCGAAGAACTGGAGGGGCAATCTCTTGGGGGCTGCTGGGTTAGGGTTACTTTGGTGTGTGTAGTTCATTCTTAGAGAAAATGGCTGTTGAGTCAGAGTAAACAGTCTCTGCATTGCTGAAGGGGGAAGCAGAAGAGGAGGAGCAGAGACAAACACTGGAACCAATGCTGCCTCTTCCAGTCCCTTTCTTCCTGCCTGTAGCTCTGCTGCTCGTCACCTCTTAGCATGCATGTTGTATGTTAAGGTACGTATGCATCTCTACATATGAGAGGACACGAGCGAGATTTGCTCATGCTGGCAGGATTAGTAGCCCCAGCTGTGTATGTGTGCGTGAGAGGCAGCTGAGGTACAGAACATCCTAAGTTAAAAACAACATGTAAATACAAGAAGATCCATCCTAACAGAGCTGCGAGCGTTGTCTTTGTGCAGAGCAGAACAGGCTCATTGAACTAGAGCGGTGACTGAAACCAGCCTTTGTTTTTCATTGGTTGGCTTCAGTTGCACATGTTCCTCATTACGAGCAGACAGGATGAGGAGGGAGGAATGGATCGTATGTCTGTGCCTTCCTGTGTCACCGTAGAACACAAATAGAAAGCATGCTCCCCCCAAAAAACTCCAAATGCATGTAAATCTTCAAGAAAAAATAGTTTTATCCTCTAATGGGATGCATGTCTGTAGGTGGGAGGCACATGTTCTCAGGCTTGGAAGCTGTGGATATTTATGGAACTTGTGTGTGTGTGTGTGTGTGTGTGTGTGTGTGTGTGTGTGTGTGTGTAAGTGGATTTTGATGTTGGAGAGTGCTGCCAGCACATTTCTCCACAGTGAAAGTTGCAGTTACTATTCCTCTGTATTTATGACCATTTGCTCCCCACATCCTGCTCAAAAACCACAACCACGCTGGCATTATCAGCCATGGCATGAATAAAAATAAGGTTGTTAGATTGAAGGAAAAAAAAAGTTTTTGTTGTACCTCGTATGTAACACCTTTAATACCGCAGGTCTCATTACAGGAGAACCATCAATGCCTCAGCAGAGCCCAAACCAGCGGGAGGACGCCATGAGACACATTAGACACTAAGAAGCATCACAAGACCCACACTAAGACTAAATACACACCCTGTGAGTCCAACGCGCCTGAGCATGGCTGTAAATGTGGCGCAGACGACAGCGAGTATCCTCTCCACGACGGCCACCTCAACCGCCACAATGGACTCTTTGCTCTCAACCGCCGCGAGAACCAGAGAAAACACCACCTCAAGAACATTTATGACTGTTACCATAACAACAAACGAGACCAGCTTCAACGCCACCGCGTTTCCCGACGAGATGATTGAGGGTTCGAGCGCTGGAATGCTGCTGGTGCCCTTTGGCATCATCACGGTCATCGGCTTAGCTGTGGCAATAGTAAGAAAGTGCAAATGATCCCAGAACTTGCCTTCTATCATTTCTTTTGAAGGAGCTGAGTTTATTTGTAACATATTTCAGTTTTTTTTTTTTTTTTTAATTGTAGTTGCTGTACATCCGAAAACGAAAGCGGTGAGTTTATCCAAAGTTTAAAGATCTCAAAATGAACAAAGGAAAGGATCACAATTGTCCAAAACCATAAAAATTCAGCTTGTTGTAGAGAATCAATGCACCAAATGAGGCTAAAAATTCATTTCTTTCTTTTCACTATGCTATATTTTGGGAAATAGGTTAGAGAAGTTGAGACACCAGCTAATGCCGATGTACAACTTTGACCCGGCTGAAGAGCAGGATGACCTGCTGGAACAGGAACTGCTGGATCACGGACGGGAAGGCAGCCTCACAGGCCCCAACGCCAAGGTAGGCTGAACACTCACGAGTCTTTGTCTCTCAGACAACGAATGAATGGTCTGATCACGCCATGATATATTGTTCTCCTGTGTTATGAATGCAAAGTTTAGAAAATATGATTTTTTTTTTATATTCTTGATGCTTCAGTTAGTCTTTAGAGTGTCCAAACAAGACCCACGATGTTAGTGTGGAAAAATGGGCTCTATACAATTTATTGTAAGTTTTTCATTGTGGTAATTCTCTATTCCTATTTCTCTTTTTTTAAGTTTTGACAAAGCAAAATATGGTAAAGTATCACCTGTGTGTTGTTTGAACCATTCCTCCCTTTACACTCACCTTTCTCTCTCCTTGTTAAGACTTTAGAACAGCCGTGTCTGAATTTCACTCATTTAACTAACACACATTAAAGCATTTAAGACACTGAACCTGCAATACTTCCAATTTATGTTTCACCCTTTTCTCCATTCTCTATCCCTTACTGAAAAACTTTCTTAGATAATATTATAAAGGGCCACATGATGAAGAACCCATTCCCACCCCCTGACACCGGCTTCTCCCCCAAACCCCATAATATAACAACAAATGTGTCAATATCCTTAATAAAGAACTGAATAAAATGTTCTTTGATTAGCCAAATAATTAGAGTACAGCAAACGTTTAAAATCACAACTAATTTCTTTCCAAGCATCCAAACTTTATCCTTTAAATTTGATTTGATCAATATTTTTCACATTTCATAAAGTCTTTCAAAGATTTCAGCTACTTTTCCCACCCATTTTCAGTCCAGCCTTAGCAGCTAATAGCAAGTTGCGTGGAAAGTAGTCAAGTGTCATGCATAAAACAAAACAGCAGTCCCTCGATTATTGTGGGTGACACGTTCCACACACCACCGCGATAGGTGCAAAACCGCAAAGTATGAGCACTATATTTATTTTAGTATTTATATATACTTCAAGGCTTTATGAACCCTTCCCACACTTTTCTAAACTCTTAAACCTACGTCATTTTAACTGTACAGTAGTCCCTCGTTTATCGCGGGGGATCCGTAACCTGAAGCCCCGCGATAAGTGAAAAACCGCAAAATAAGAATAGTAGTACAAGTAGTATATTTTAGTATTTAAAGGTGTTTTAAACCCTTCCCACACTCTTGAAATATTCTAAACAATGTTTCTAAAGCTCTAAATGAGCACAGAATGTCATGATTTCAGCTCTCTGCCTCCGCTGCTCTGTCAGCTGCAAGCACCCTTGGCCACGCCCACTTCTTCGATCTGCACAGAGATCAGCTGATCAGCAGCAGCAGGAAGTTCATCCTGCAGTAAGGCCTGCACAAAGTTGCAGCAGAAGCTAAATAATTTTAAATAATTCATTTTAAAACAAAAATTCCATGCTTATCGTGCAGCTCATCCATAAATCAAGCGATTATGTGTCATGTTCAATCTTATTTTGAAAAACCGTGATTAAGCGAGTCCGCAATAAACAAACCGCGAAGTAGCGAGGGACTACTGTACTGCAAGATTACAGGTACTCACCACCTCTGCAGACCAGCAGCTCAGTTCTGGTTGGGCTCAGTTCTGCTTCTGCAGACCTACCCTGCAGCGACGAAGTGCACCGCCCCGTCCAGGTCGATGTGCGCGTGGATAATTGAGCTTCAGGATTATTTGCGACTTTCCTGCCAGTTCTATGAGCTTAATAGATAAATCGTTACTTCTGACTTTGCATAGCAAAACTATCCTTCCATTTCAGCAGAAAGCAGCAGCACTGTTGCATGGCTTCTGGGTAGTGTAGTTCTTTTGACTTGTGTTACAGTGTAGGCTTATTGAAATAAACAAAAAACAAAATGGCGGTGCCTGTCCAAAGTAGTGTTTATTCATTAACTTTATCCTGTAACATCCCAATCACGTAACATTAAAGATGACAATTGTGTCGTGTACAATCTTACGTTGAAAAACCGGGAAAGAGCAAGTCCGCAAACGTCAAACTGCGAAGTAGCGAGGGACTACTGTATATTCATCTTTCTTTCTTTAATGTCCAAAAATCAAGCAAAGACCTGACACACAAACCTGAGAGAAGCATCATTTACTTGATCAACTGCAGGTCAAGATTTGACTAACTCATGGGAATCCCCTTGTTGATGATAAGATAATTTATGTGTCAAATGGTGTTTTGTTTCATAGCTTCAACTAGAATTGGGAATAAATAAAAATTATTGACAGGCTGCTGATAAAGTGTCTAAAGAACCTGTTTAAAACAGTTTTTTGCTAAGTTGCTCTGGTTCATTTCTGGAGTTTAGGAGCTTTTTCTGCCTGAATGATTCACAGATCAGAGTTAAGTGGCCTTATAAACTAAAATATTCATTTGAAAACATTCAGGTATAAATGAAAAAATATTATTATTATTATTAATAATAATAATAATTAAAAAAAAAGCCAAAGTCAACAGAAAAGGTTTAAAATACCTTCAGAAAAAAATAGACCAAGACCACTTTGAAAGATTATAATTAAATTTGGATGCTTGGAAGTAAAATGTAAAGAAATGAGGATATGTATTGCACAACATTGTGAATGTAATATTAGTACTTATCTGCTTTGCCAAGAGCTTTTTCTTAGGTTTTCAAACACGCCTCACATAGATGATCGATTGAATTAGTTTAAGAGCGTTATTTAAAAACCTGAACTTTAAATATTTTGTCAATTCCTTGCTTTTAATCAACAACATGCAATTATAGAATTAACACTGATTAATCGTCAACCCCTTTTAGAAATACTCATAAAAATGGCAAGTTTGTAAATTACAAAAATGACTAATCCCTTCAGCTGTTTAAACACTGCGGTGTCTGATACTAATAGTTTCTTGTTTTTATTAATAAATCACAGACTTCATCCTAAAATATTACGGTGATTTAGCAGTTCCTCTTACATAATGAAACGAAACACCAGCGTTAAGCTGCCAGCCTGGAGTCAGTGCGTAATCTTAACCTCCCTGATGGTTTCATCTGCTCTGTCCTCTGCAGACACTCACAACCTCCCAGGGGACGATGCAGAGACCCAGTCGCCTGGTCTTCACTGATGTAGCCAAAGCTCTCAACGCTTAACAGCCCTCCTCCTCCGGCTGATCGCAGCCACAACCAGACACAGACTGTTGCTCAGGAAGGAAAAGAAGGGGAAACCAGACCGTTAGAGCCTGGAGTAAACGTTTTCATCACAGCAGTGGTTTGAACATGACAAAAAGTGTGTGGGAGCAACAGGAAGCATCTGAAACGATCTTGCACTGTAGTCACTTGGGCACAAATTAAGTGTGCACTTTTTAAAAAAAATCACGTACTTGTTGATAATATGTTTGGTAGCTTGTCACGAAGTTCAGAGTTTCTGCATTTACTTCAGTGTTTCATGAGATGAACCTGTAAATCTGTGCTATAGCGATATTGTGGTCTCCAACGAGCCTGTACGTCGGACGTGTTGCCATCTTCAAACCGTGTTCTCCTCCATCTGTCACCTTTGAGCAGTGACGAATATCGCTTCCATCTGTATGCAATAAAATTGTTAAAAGAAACGTGCAATTTGCATTAAAAATAATTAAAAAAAAAGAGCTGATAAGTGTGATATTTTTATTGATAAGCGATAAAGAGGTAAAAGTAACACAAATCACAACATAAAGACTCATAACAAAATATATATCACAGGTTTGTGAGTTGTATTAAAGGAAGTGAATGAGGAGGACACAACAACATAACTATAAACTCGTGTTAAAAGCAAGGCATACAAAGATGATTTCTCAAGTTACAATTCAACTTTTTTTTCAATAGTTGAAAATGGATCAAGTACTGTATGTAACTATATGACTAGCAGTAAGATCACAGAGCAACACTGTCCCCATCCAGAGAGTAAAAATCCAAACAGCTCGTGTAAAAAGACACACTGACTCAGTTTGAATGAGACACCTTTCAGGCCGACTCTCATTCACTTATGGTCACATGGATGTAGTGAGATGAGACGCTTGGACTACTGCATTGCAAGTTTAACAAGTTTTTTTTTTTTTTTTAAGATTTCATGATCCCTGTCAAAACACCTGATGAAAAGGCCCTGATGGAAGCCATTTTTGACCATAAGTGACCAAAAGACTCCCCAGAGTTGAGCCAGGCTTGGTGGTTTACAGAGGTAGTCCCGGGGACGATTAGGTAAAGTCAACATGACATTGAATAAATCTGTAATCTGGCAGCAGATTAGGCAACAATGCTGAAATACATGAAATATCTGAAATGCAATGTATTGGTGAAAATCAACAACAAAAAAATATAAAGAAAATGAGTGATATTCAAGTAAAGAGCAACTTAAAGAGATGTCACCATGAATAATGATTGTTACAAGGTGGCATGTTATCAGAAACCTTTTCAAGTTGACTGTGTAAGTGCAGAATCCTAAACAAAAAGATAAATGATCATTTTTGTACAAGTGCACTGTACAGCAAGCCAGTTTATCATATAATAGACAGACTCTGCAAAGCAAATCTCAGTAAAGTAGTCCCTCGTTTATTACGGGGGTTTCCGTTCTCAGTTCACCCACGAGAAGTGAAAAACCATGAAGTAGGAATAGTAGTACAAGTAGTAGTTTATTGTACTATTTTAAATGCTTCCCACACTCTTGCAAAATTCTAAACATTGTTTCTAAACTTTAAATGCTCTAAAAGAGCACAGCATGTCATGAACTCAGCTCTTGGCCACGCCCACTTCTCCCCTGCAGAGCGGAGATCGACATGCTGCAGGAGGGAGCTTCTCCCTGCACATGTGAGCTTCACACTAGAGCTGTCATTTCTAACCTGGGCCCGAAGCCCCGCCCAAACCAACCCAACCCGAATTTGGGGCGAGCCGGGCCGTGATAATGTGCTGGATGGGCAGGCCGTGTCAGTTTTAGGCTTTTGATTGCGTCAGCGGATCAGCAGCAATCTAATTATATGACAACATGGCTTGCTATACCTTCACCAGCTGCACACGGCCATTTCACCTCGAACTGACCGGTCTTGAGGTAAAATAAAATTCAGTAAAGCTTCAGATGTGACTATACTGCCAGTAATCCATCGCTCAAATGGACATTCATTTAGCCGCTGCACTCAGTGGATGCGCACGGTCGAAGACCCAAACAGGTGAGATCACAAAGCAGACATGTCAGAGCGATCCGTGTCTGAATGAATCACAATGCAGGCAGAAAAAGGGTTTTAATGCTCTTTGACAGCCATGAAAGAACAAACACCCCCACAGCTCCGATCTTCTGTCCCTTTTATTCAGCCATGTCACCGCGGTAAAGTTAGTTTTACGTTGGACATTCGAGCTCCGTGGCTTCAACGGTGTGTTCCTCTCGTTCGATCCGATGCAGGCAGTCTGATTCTGGTCAGCCGAACTCAAAGGAGAGGAAGACAATTCTGAAGCCACAGAGCTCGAATGTCCAACGTCCAAAGTAAAACTAACTTTATTGCAGTCCGCGCGTCCACCGACCGTTAATATACTATAAGCAGTCAAAGCTTAATAATGTTTTTTTTTTTTTTTTTCCGGGTTCGGACCTGTAGTTACTGTTAATTCGTCAGGTCGGGTGGGGTTCGGAAATGATGACTGTGGGCTGGGTCGAATTGGATTTTTTGGGCCCGAATGCAACTCTACTGCACAGAGGTGCAGCAGGTGCTAAATAATTTAAAATAATTTATTTTAAATTTAAAAAATCCATGCTGATCGTGTGGCTCATCCATCATACAACCAATTGTGTGTCATGTCCACTCTTACTTTGAAAAACCACGAAACAGTGAATCCGCGAAAGTCAAACCGTGAAATAGAGAGGGACTACTGTAATTCAGGTTTTGCTTGTCAAAACAAATATTTTAGAAATTAAGAATGCTACCTATCTGCAGCCAACATTTCAGATATCTCAAACATCATTCTTCTCATTCAGGCTTTCAGCTCCTGATATTTATAAATAAGTAAATCCTTTCTGGAATGAACATTTGGATATCTTAAATATATATTTAATAAGGAGCAACTCCCTATTCAATGACAGGAGCGCAGTTTTTACAAGTAGTAAATTGGATTTTACATGTCCCAAATGAAATAACAATCTTAACATTATTAATAAATAGATTTAAAAAAATCCCCACACAATTTAGCTAATGACTATGTCATTGTTTATTTTCTTTTTAAATTTTTTTTTTATAAAACTAGATTGCTGAAACCCAT